AGGTGGGCTTGCGTTCTGCCGAGTTTCCAAACAGGGTAATAAGGAGATGAACTTCAGAATGTGAGGTCTTTACATAGATTATCCTTGTATAGTACTCCTACGGTGTGTGCGTATTTGCTGTGAGAATCGCTAAAAATTTGGGCCCCAACATGTTAGACACCCTCTTGCGGTTGTATCACGTGAAATGAACTTGACACATTAGTGAGCATTAGCAGATAGAAGTTTTGTCACTAAGTGATGTTTATCTACTGGAAAACCTTATAAAACGGCAGATGGAGCAATTTTAGGGACGTTTATATGTTACATTATTGGGCCGAATCGTGTGAAAATTGTCAGGCGTGTGTCCTACCGTTACGTGAATTCTCCGGCATCTGTTACATTTTCTATTGAATTGTGTTATCAGCTGCCCAGTCAATGTCCAAGGGGCGAATGGGGAGAACGAATCAGTGTACCACCTCCTTCTATTCAATTATGCGGCCCTAGATTTTCATACCGATATTAACTCACCACCAATCATAGTCATTATGTGAGTTCTATCTCGGAGAGCACGCTCCTCATGTATTTGGGCCTACCTCACCTAGCATGATGATGGCGGAATTCAACCAAATGCCAATGACCACATCCACCTCCCACTCTGTACCGGTTGGATTGCTTGCCTACACCACCGATCTAACGTCATCGTCTCGTTTAGATCAGTGGACATCTTTAACTCAGAGTCAACTATAAGGCCTTACACAATTTACACTTCCAGTGTACACATCCATTCACCCAAGAATACCGTCACATAAACATCATTCGGATCCAAGCTCAAGTGACACGCAATTTTTAGCGAATCCACCATTAATTGGCATATTTAATTAAAATTCCACCCTGGCTAATGGTGCTCTTCAATGCATATGGAAGGCAGTTCTATAAAAAATCGTGTTCCAGTGGGCCAATGGAAAAAATTACTTTAAAATTAAATCTAAGTTTCGAAAATTTTGGGCTCATCATTTTGACTTTAAGGGGTGATTTTAATCAACTTCGATTTGGCAGAGGTCACGAAATGCCGCATGGAGTATGCTATTTCTCCCGACATCCTACTAAATCATCCCCTATCAAAATTGTTACAATACAAAACGTTCGAGATTGCGGTTTGGCACAAAAAATCGGGTCGCTTACATCCCAACCGAATTGGTAGACACCGTTGTAGATACCTCCATTTATGGATATTTAGCTCACTACGACTGTATTGGTCAAGGAACTCTTTCCATGCTCAATGTGCCACCATGCTTGCTATTGATGTAGATCCCGTTGGCTCTGGATCGCATTAGCCAGCAAAAATACTGGCATATTCAAATTAGGCTCAATTTCCAACGTAGTGGGGTGTCTTGAGCAACCCAATTTGGTAGTAGATCTAGCTTAGTAGTTGTTGTAGTTTCACGGCAAAATGTCGACATCACAAAATAATGCCCAGTAGATAGTATTTTGCAAAATCGGGTGTGCTTTTAGTTTGAATTTTGAATGCTCTGTTAATTCCAACTCATCTTCTGTTAATGCCTCCAACTCCTCAACTTATCAAACTCTCTGTCACCCAAAATGACTAGTTAGATCTGAGTCAACCGTTAGAGAATGGAAATAGTACAGATCGATTTGTGAGTAGTCCATAATTCTGCTACAGTCAAAGCTAATTCAAAACGCC